GTCCTGGGGTGAGGAGCGAGGGCACCCAGCATCCACACTCTTCCCCAAGTGCTACAGCTGGGATCTGTGGCTAGCAGGGCCTGGCATGGATTTGTCCTCCTAAAGGCCTGATGGTAAGGGGAAGCCCTGGGCAACCCCACACCAAACCTCACTGGCCCAGCTGACCACTGGGCTTTTGTGCCACTGTCCCATGTTCCAGCTCTAAGCTGAGGCTGGGCTGCCCATCTAAGCCCGAGCCATCTGCCCATGGCCATACTGAATATCCCCACTTGGCTGGGCCTGGCCTCCCTGAATCTCGCCATCTGAGCTCACCCCCATCTTTAGACTTAGACCCCCACCCACAATGGGCTGGGATGGCCACTTTGGGTAGCTGGGGAGTTCCTATGGGTTCCAGTGCTGCTGCTTCTACACCAGCCCACTGGGCTGAGTTCCCGGCAAGGGAACTTGAGTTAGGACAATATATCCATTTCCCTCAAGGAACAAAATAACTTTGTATGTGTGAAAACACTGCTTAACAGAAAGCCCTTCTACACACCCAAGGCAGATGCACGGTGTGGGTGAGAGCTGACACATTTCTGACTGGTACTCCCAGAAGTCTGCAGGAAAATGCAGGTTTTGTTCAGATATGGAGATGACAGGGAATGCAGAGAGAGGACCATGTGCCAGGAAGTCAGGGCCATAGGGAGGGGTCAACGTGTACTGTGTGCCAAGCATTTCCCTAGGATCCAAGTTGAGAAGGGACTCAGGAGAGACAGGATTTTAGCACCAGCTCTGATAGAAGTGATTCAAAGGACTACGGAATGTGGAGAGGTCTGAGAGTTTCACTAGAGAAGGGGGCTAGTGCCAGCCTCTGAAGGCTGGATGGATTTGGCAATGGGAAGGGCCCAATAGACAGCAGGAAATGGGAGGCCAGAGCAGTGGCAGAGGAAGGGAACAGACCATGCTGAGGGCCTGACTACTTTATGTAGACCCCAGAATCTGGGAACTAATTGGGAAGGAGAGGAGAAGGTGTCCAAGATGACACTAAGGTTTAGAGGGCGAAGGGCTGGGCTTGTCATCTGGTGTCTGGATGTGGAAGGGGATGCTGTGGTGGGAAGTAGAGGGCTTGTTAGTCACATGCTGAGTTCAAGATGCTGTGGGTCTCCCAGGCAGAGAGGCATCCAAAGCAGGGGCCTGTAGTTCAGGAGCGAGGTCCTTGGCACAGTGATGAGTTTTGGAGCCAAGGAAGTAAATGCCATCAGCAAGGGAGAACACTCAAGGCAAGAAGAATGAGCCACACTGGTCAGGACCCTGGGCCACCACCACACAGACTGCTCACCTCTCCACCTGTCTGAATCTTACTACCCTTCCTGGGAGACCCTCTCCAGCTGGCTACTCAAGTCCCCAGGGAACCCTTTCTGCTATAAGCTTCTCAGTCCTGACTGGTCCCACTTGGGTCCTGTGATGCCACCTTTGTGGAGTCCCATGCACTTTGAGGACAGGATGACAGTTTGCTGCTGTTTGGGTCACTGTATCTTCTGGCCCAGAACACTACAGAGCACTGATTAAATAGATGCTCCACAATGAATTGACTATTGATCAACTGTTAGACTGGAGATGAAGGAAAAGAGTCAGGAGCTCTATTTCACCAGGTGACACACTCTGACTTGTCATGATGTGACAAGAAGGCCCTTGCCAGATCCCAAGCAGATGCTGGTGCCATGCTCTTGCCAACCAGAACCATGGCTCAATAAAACTCTACTTTTGCCAGGTGCAGTGGCCCACACTTATAATCCCAGCAGCTTGGGAAGCTGAGGCAGGAGGATCGTGAGTTCAAAGCCAGCCTCAGCAAAAGCGAGGTGCTAAGCAACTCAGTGAGACCCTGTCTCCAAATAAAATACAAAATAGGGCTGGGATGTGGCTCAGTGGTCGAGTTGCCCCTGAGTTCAATCCCAACCAAACCAAAACAACAAAACAAAGCTCTACTTTTAACAAATCACTCCTCTCAGAAAATAGACTTCGACACCCACCCAGTGCCATGTCTGCCTGGACCACGGGAGGCCTGGAATTCTCCCTAGCAGAGCACTCTGCCCCCAAGCGTCCCATGAACCCTTCCCAATAAAGAGTGGCTTCTGAACACAAATCTTTTCCCAAAGAGAAAACCAGGGCCAGGACAGAGGTGTAGAGACAGGGCACAATTCAAAGCAGCAGATCATCACTAAGAAATCAGAACAAAGTAAGGCGAGTGTGATGGACGCGGGTCTGGCTTATTGACTCACCATCATGACCAGACCTCTCTGCCTCCATGTGGACACAGCTCAAAAAGCTACGCTGAGTGAAACGGACAGGCTGCAGACACATGAGAAACGGGCAGGAGTCACTGCCAGGGTTACCTACCAGTGATTTCAGGTCCTTCCAAGGACAAGTGTAGTCATACTTCTGACTCCCAAGAATGGAGAGGAGGCCCCGTGATTCGCTCTGGCCAACGGACCTGGGCAGAAGCCCCTGGGCGGAAGCTCTAGGAGCCAGGCCCAGTACACTGCTCTTTCCTTCTTATTCTCTTGGGCTCCACTGGCCCAAATCCCCTGTGGACCCAGTGAACAAGCCCCACTGCAGACTCTGCTCCATGAACCGGAGTGAAAAATAGGTGCTTGTTGTGTTAAAGGAAAGAAAGAAAAATAAGTAGGAGGAACTGAGTCTAGGGCAAAACCCCGGGGTGGCTGTAGAAGGATGCATTCAGCTTTCTGGGGTGGGGGCAGCCTTGGTGTCTTGGGAGGGACGTGGTCACGTGATTGGTTGAATGGATAAGGTGTCACAGGTGCCTTCTGGTAACAACCCAAAGTGCCTTCCTTTTCTCCCAAACATTTGTAACTACTCCTGGGGATGGTGACAACTGCTCAAGGAGAACCAGAAAGGAAGAGGATCGCCAGAAGTGAGGGTGGGACTCAGGGGACAGCGGGGACTCAGGTGGGACAGCTTGGCTCGGGAGAGAGAAGGACTTGATGGGAGACACCACATAAACCCATGTGCCCAGATCAGCTGTGACAAGTTGGAGGAGTGGGGTTGAGAGTTCCCACAGCCGACGAGGCAGAGTGAGGTCGCCCTGGATGGAGATGAAGAGCGCCGTACGCTGTGGTGAAGCACACCCACGTGCCCCTCCTGCGCTCCTGTGAAGGGTACCCTCTCCCACTGGCCCCAAGGGTCCTAAGGCAGGTACCACAGGTATGTTATTGTCCCCTTCACAGATAAGGTCACTGGGAATTGGAGAGGTGGCGAGCGGGATGGTCTGAGGCTAGACAGAGGCAGGTGGGACCGCTGTTCGGGGCAGGGGTGACAAACCTCAAAAGACAGGGAGATTTTGGAACAGCAAGTGGGGTGCAGTGTCAACCTACATGTGACATGGAGGAGGGGAACACTGCCTGGGCTGCAAGAAGAGAAGGGACTTGGGGATGACTTTCAGCCAAAGGCAGTGATGTCCAGGAGGTAGCTGGACAGGGAGAGGCTCCCAACAGCTGCCTGTCCAGAGGCTGGGCCTTCTCCAGGGATACAGGAAGCAGGGGGTGGCTCGGTGACCCAGGACTCAGGTCTGGAGGTGCCTGCCTCTTAGTACATACAGAATACCTTGAAGAAGCAGGATCTCTGTCCACCAGCAAACACTGCACTGCCCCCCAGAGCCCCAGAGCCAGTCCTTCAACCAGGAGGGAAGAGGGCACGTTCCTAGGACCAGATGCATAAATCAATCCTGGGATCCGGTCCCGGTGCCCTTGGGAGGACCCAGTGTATGAGAACACAGAGACACACGAGGGCGCTCTAACCAAACGGCAGGAGCAGAAAACAGTTGTCCCTAGTCGGAAGGGTCAGCACTGGGAAACACCCAGTGTTCCTGGATGGAGCCACTCCTGGCTTGGGGACAGCATGCTGCGGGCATGTTTGTCATCTCTGCCTCCTGCCCCACCGCTCTGGTAACCAATCATCAGTCCCAAGGACCCCTCAGGCTACAAGAAGATGCCTATGTGTGGCCTTGGGGAGGGTGGCAGTCTGTGCTCCTCTCCACCAACCTTCTAGGGGACTCCTGTGCCCCCTACTTTGACCTGGTGAGTTAGGCACTTGCAGGTGCTAGAGAGTCAGAGCCAGTGACAGTCCTGTTGGCCAAGGCCTGGGGACCAACCCCCGGGGAGGGCAGTTTTCCTCCTCACTGTTGTCCCTCAGGACTGTGTAGGGCTGGGGGCCAACCTGATCACACCAGGGACACAGACACAGGACCCGGAGACAGACACCACGGCACCTGCTCACAGACACCCACATCCGGGGGAGCAGACACGTGGCCACATAGAACACAGCCAGCACAAAACACTTGCACAGAGCACGTCTGAAGCAAGGCTCCCTTGTAGAGCCCAGAAGGTCCCCACAGTGGTGAATTCTGAAATGTGTAGAGCAGCAGGCTTCAAAGCCATGCACCAAAAGCCAATGACCAGAGATGACGTTCAAAACTCTCCAAACCAGAGCCCCAGGCCCTGGCGGTCAGAACGGGAGTGGGAGTAAAAGGCCAATGGGTGCAACAGCTCTCCGCCCTGCAGTTGGCCTTGTGCGCAGAGCCCAAATGCCCAGGGGGCAACTGGGCATGCGGAGGTGGGGTGGCCTGGGCAGGAGGCAGGTGACTTTTGGGGAACATACTGCAAGGGACTGAGATGGGAGCTGGGAGGCTCACTATCACCCCCGTGCAGGGGCTAGAAACCCGTCCAGGAGCTGAGGAAATATCAGGGCTGGAGAAAGACCCAGACCAGACCCCTCCAGATCCTCAGCAAACACCCAGCGTGGCTTGTGCCCACCAAGGCGCCCCCTGGTGTTCTCAGAGGCGAACTGCAAGTTCCATGACGGTGGCACCTGCACAAAGTCAGCGCAGGAATCTCAGGGCTCCTGTGGGCACCGCCCTGCAGTGAGACGCCCCGCCGCCTCCGCGCACAGGGGGCGCAGGCTCTTACTCCACAGGGAGCAGGCTGCAAACCGAGCGTGAGTCTTACCCTCCTTCGAAGATTTTGATCCTTGCCGGCTCCCCTCTCTTGGGGGCGGGAGCGTCCTCCTCCGGCTTCCCTCGCTTCTCCTCCTCCATCTCCACTCTAGCTAGCTCTTTCTGGCCTTCCGGGGAAGCCAGCGACGGGAGGTGCACCTGGCCCACCGCAGGGTGACAAAATCAGAGCTGGTTAAATTTTCCTTCTCAGTTGGGAGTGGCCTAATCCCTTGCGTGGCACCGACCCACACGCAGGTGGACTCCCCTAACTGCCCCTCCCTCCAGACGTGTGTTGTCAGCCCCATGCGACAGAATGAAGGCACCCACCCCAGAGAGGCCAGGTCTCCCACGCTGGGGCTCTGATTGGCCTTTCTGGTTAACCATCCCACAGAGCTGGGTTGCTTTGTGTCTCTTGTACTAGCTTGGGAGCTCCTGGGGACAGGTCCTTATCTTGTTATCCTCGATCATATCAGCACCCAAACCAGGGTTGGCCTCAGAGGAGACGCTTGAAGAATGTTGAACAAATAAATGAAGCCTCCACTCTACCCCAGGAGATTAACTGCTGCAGTTCTCACCAATAGATCAGAAAGCCAAGGTTATACAGCTAGTTAAAGGCAGAGCTGGGAGCAGAGCACAGGTCTCCTGATTCTAGGACCCCAGTCCTCCCAAGCTAGTGCTGGGAGCCAGGTGACACTGACCAACAGAAACCAACACCCGCTCCCTCCCTGCCAGTCAGACCTGAGAGGCTGAGCAGGCTCTGGGCTGTTGGTCTAAGGGAATCCATTCTCTTTGCAGAGTTATGGGCCTCAATGAGACCTAGTTCAGTGTGGAGGCTGGCATTGACCTCGCGTTTCCCAACAACTCCCATTATTTCAAGAATATGTTCTCTCTACCTGCCAGGGATGGCAGGGGGTGGGTTACCCCCTTGTGTAGGGAGCAACAGTGTTGTACTAGGGGTGAGGGCTGGTAGAACTGTGGAAAAAGGCACCCAGTTGGGAACCAGGGGATCTGAATTCCAGTACCAGATAGGCCATCACATGCTGAGTTACCCCAGGGTGGATTTGCTTCACTTCTCTGGGCCTCAGAGTCTGGGGAAAGGGGAAGTTGGATCATCTTAAAGATCCATTCTAGGACCAACTAATATAATTTAGTGACTCCATATAATCTTTTCAGATTGGAAGGTGATGACTGGATTAAGCTAGAGGAGGTTGGCTTGGGTGGCAACCTGAGCAGGGGACCAGGAATTCCTTTTAACTTTCAATGATAATGAGTAAGTACAATCAAAAACATTTACTGAGTGTCAATGTGCTAAGCACTGTTGTAAATACACTTTGTGTATTTTAACTCATTTAATTATCTCTACAGTTCTATGAGTTAATGATATTATTATCCATATTTTACAGATGAAGAAACCAAAGCACAGAAAGATTAAGTAACCCAGCCAAGGTCACACAGCTAGTAGATGGAGTAGTAGGCTTCAACTCTGGGCAATGTGGCACCTGCATCATTGTTCTTAACTTTTTTGTGATAGTGTTGTGGTTATAAAAATGACCCCAAAGGAGGAAGCTTGAGTTTCTTTGGGGCTTACAAACAGAAAAAAAAAATTGTATGACCAAACTCAAATGTAATACAGTATCCTAGATCCTCAAGAAAATGGTTAGGAAAAAATTCAAAATGCCATGCATGGTGGTGCACATGTAATACCAGCAGCTTGGGAGGCTGAGGCCTTGGAACCTCCTTGGGAGGATCAGGAATACAAAGCCAGTCTTAGCAATTTAGCAAGGTGCTTAGCAACTCAGTGAGACCCTGTCTCTAATAAAATATAATAAAAAGGTCTGGGATATGGCCCAGTGGTTAGGCACCCCTGGGTTCAATCCCCAGTACCAAAAAAAAAAAAAAAAAGCTTCAAAATGCTATGACAAACTAAAGGATGTTTTCAGAACTACTAACAGAGAGTGTAAGCCACAAGATGACAACTGTCAGCCTGGTGGAATAAAGGACTTCCCAAAGATGAATTGGGTTGTCCCATGAGGTGGTGAGTTCCCCATCACTGGAGCTATACAAGGAGAGGCCAGAGAGAGAAAGAGAGAGAGAGGCCTTGTAGCAAGGCCTCAACTTGTAGACTGTACAACTATTTTAATTGTGCATATTGGTGCACTTTGGTAGGAAACCTGCCTTTGAACCAAATAGCATATTCCAGGAAAAAGTTTGCAGGTTTTTGGCTCATTTTAGGAAACTAGTATTATAAACAACTGATAGCCAAATCCAGTTCAACCAGTTAGCACTTCATTTTTCTTATAAATACCCTATACAATCTACATAAGGGAACAGAGGCAGCGTGGATCATCTGAAAGGGCTTCAGAGTATGAATCAGGTTTGAATTCAGTCCCTGCCATTTACCACATGACCTTGTGCAAGTTATCCCACCTCTGTGCTTTGGTGCATTTATCTATAAAACGGTGATATTGCACACTAACTTTCAAGGTGGTTGTGAGGATAAAAGTAAAGTTTAGCATAGTACCTGGCACACAGTAGGTGCCCCCAAAATTATAGGTATAATTATAGCTGCATCTTGACAGCAGCTCTAGCTAGTAAGAGACAGCGAGAGCAAATCAGTCTGATGTTTATGGTAAAAGTGGAAATTTTGCTCAGAGATGTCTGTAGACTGACAAAGACATCTAGAAAATGAATTGGAAAACAGTTGTGAAGACTCTCCAGTTTAGATGAGGACAAACCCAATGCATAAAATCCATTCAGTGCAGGAGGAAGGCATGGACGTGTGGGAAGTTACAGATTATGCTTTTGCTCATCCATCTACAATAGGAGCTTATTTGGGGGAAATCCATGCCTGATTCAGTCAAAGCATCTGGTCAGAGGACACACTAGTGAACATCATTAAATTTGCAACAATATTTTAAGGGTCTCTTTCCTCAAAGAATTAAAAGAAGAAAAATAGACTCTTTGGAGACAGACAGGTCTGGGTTAATACTCCAGGTTTGCTAAACATTTGCCATGTGTTGTTGACCTCTCTCAGCCTTTGACCCTGGTTCTTTCATATGGAGTGTGGAGATGGCAATGCTGCCTCACAGGTGGAGGTGAGCTTTGACTGGATCCAAGGGTGTAGTACAGGGAGGTTGTTCAACAAGCAAGACCAAATTCTCATTTCACAAGTGCCAAGTTAGGACAACACATCAAATCCTCAGGCTAGCCTTTTTAAGGTTTGGAGGTGTCTTTTGTCTAATGCAAATTTGGAATTATTATATTTTAAACTTGCCAAAAGTGCAGGGGACCTGTTAACTTTATATAATTTCATAGCTTCTGATATACCTGCAGGTCAGAAGCAATGAGGGAGTAAATTGGAGCCCTTGACATCATGAATATGAAAAATATGAAAAGTCTAATAAGACAAGAGACAACTATGAGGTAAGTAAATGTTACAAAGTTCTGAAACTGCTAGGGGCTTTCCCATCAACCAAGTGTCCAACTCAGTCTTTTAGAATTATTTTTTTTCCTTGCTGAAATTGTGTCTTTGATTTTATAGTGGAAGCTCCAGGGGAAACAGGGTTGCTTTATAGCCAACTTTCGTGAAATGTGTCTATTCCAATCATGAACGGAACACACTGATAAAGAGACCCAATAAACATATTTCCTTATAAGGTGACCAGTCACAGCTGTCAGAGAGGAAATCTTCCCCCTCAGTTCTAGTTCTACACATGTAACCTGAAGACAATGTGGCTTTAAAAGCTCAACAAGGTCTTTAGCACTCAGTGGTGAAAAAAAGAACAATGCTGAACTTACCTCTGTCATGCGGGGCTTGCGGGAGCTGGATGGCACAAGCCTTCCTGCCTCAGGATGCGGAGCTGTGGCCATGGTGTATGTCTCTTTGCTCACCTTCTGCTTAGACCTCAGGAGGGACAAAGCAGCTTTAGTGGAAACCCCCGGAAGGTTGGGGTTGTACAAACTTATGCACCAACCAGCGTAAACAGAGGACCTCCTATCTGCATGCTGGATGTGATTTGGCTTAATGTAGTTTAAATAGCACCAACTGACATTAGTGGTCGTGTGGAGGCTGGGGAACTGCAGTACCTTCTTTGAGTCCGTACCTTCTTGTGACTTGGCAGGTCTGAGGGACGTTTCTGACAGAGGCAGAGAGCTGGGAGGAGCCAGGGGAGGGGGATCAGGTTGTTCCTTGGAATCTTCTTTCTTCACGCTCAGTGGGGGCAACCCTCTTCGATGAGCTCTCCCAGATGGCTGGGCATATTCCTTCAAAGCTTCTGAGCCTGGGGCTGTCCCATGGGACAATGTGGAGTGAGAGAGGGGAGGAATTTCCTTGGGGTCAGATGGGTCTGAGGACAGGCTGGCCAGTGTTTCTAGCTCCCTCCTGCCCTGGCCCTGGCTTCCTGGATGGGATTTCTCTGTCCTCTTCCCACCCTCAGTGCTGGTCAGCACAACACTGCATGGTTTTACCAGCTCAAGTTTTTCATCTGCTTTGGAAGCTTCCTCTTCCTTCACTCTTTTTTGCTGCTGGGTTTCCATGGTAAGTTCAAGGCTGCCAGCTGGTGAAAGGACACGTTTGCTTCCCCCCACTGTCGAGGAACTCCCCTCAAGGCTCAAGGCACCTTCTGATGACAGGGAAGTGCCTTTTCTTTCAGGTAATGTCACAGGCACTCTCAGGTATGGAGTCTGGAAACCTCTGCTTTGCTCTTCACTTAAGCCCGGCAGTCCAGGCCCAGCCTCATACACGTGTGCCCCACACGAGGCTGTCCCTTTGGATGAGGGCTCCTCACTCTTGGGAAGAGGTGCACTTGCTGAGCTGCCTTGAGACTGGGTGACCAAGATCTGAGAAAGGGTGGTGTACATTGCACTCCCATAGGACGGCGTGTTGGTCTGAATGCGGACGGGCACCACCAGGGACACCATGGTGTCTGGACAGGCGGGCAGGGCCAGCGGCAGGGCTGATGTGGGTGCCGAGGAACTGGCTGGGGGAGCTGCAGGGGGCAAGTGGATGTCACTGCTGTACCCTGTGCTGCAGGAGGGGCCAGGAGTTGCTGTCGCCAGTGGAGCTGGGCTGGTTTTGATCTGGGGCAGGTGGCTTTCCACATCAGGGAGCTGCAGTGCAAACTGGGATTGCAGAGGCAGGAAAAGCCCAGAAGAGAGTGCTGAGGAGGCCGGGTATGGCATGGGGAGGAAGGAAGGGGGCTGCCGGAAGGGAATGTCAGCTGGATGAGGCAAGAGCTGGGGGAGATGGAGTTGGCCTGGGTGCAGAACAGTAGGCTGGAGAGGAAGTGGTGGGGCTTGGAATAAGGACGGAGGGAGTGGAGGCATGGAGTATGGTGAGGAGAGGAGGCTGGACATGGCCTGGCTGGAGAAGAAGTCTGAAGACTGTCCTGGCTCATGCTGCAAGAGGTGCTGGAAAGAAAAAAGGGAGACAGGTGGGGGCAGATATGGTTTCTCCTGCAGGGGCAGCTGGGCCACGGGGTGGTGCAGCACCTGCAGTGCTTCCGTGAAGGGTGGAGTGGACCCCAGCGGGGGCCTGTCCTGCACCTGGCTCTTGCCTCCCGGGTGCCCACTGTGCAAGGTGGCCGCTGAGGAAATCTGGGGCAATGAGCTTTTGGTTGAAGGTTTGCCGGATGAGGACTGTGGGTCCTCACTCTCTTGTCTTCCCTTAGGGGTGGCCTCTGGCTCCATTTCCGGAGGCCTGCTCAGAGAGGCCTGCCTCACCAAAAAGCATTTTCTTCTCTCTGGCGGGGCCACCGGAGCCGGTGGAGCCACTGGGGCTGGTGCAGAAGGGCCTGTCAAGGACAAGCTGCCGTAATCAAATGATTTGCTGCGTGTCTCAGTCATGTGGGCAGAGTGGGAAATGTTGGGGCTCTGCTCCGAAGCCGACCTCCTCATCTCTCGGGCGTGTGGGTGGTGGCTGGGGACAGTCAGCATATGGGTGCCCAAGGGTTTGGAGCGAGGATCAGATGAGGGCCCAGGGGCCTCAGCTTTCCCGTGGTCATCCCTGTCGAACGAGGCTGAGCGGCTGGACCCACTCAGAGAGACACTGCTTTCCTGGCTCGGGCTGCGAGACAGAGGCGCAGATGACTCAAAGCTGGACTCCCCGGATGACTGGGCCATCTCGGCCAGGCGCAGTCTCTTCTTCTTGGGTGGCAGCTTCTCGGCTGGGAGCTGGGCCAGTGTCTGGCTGCGTTGGGGCCACTGGAACTCTTCTGTCTTCTCGGGTTCCTTAGGAGGTGGTTCGGGTTCTGTGTCAGGCAGGTCCGGCTCCTCGGTCACCAGGATCTCTGGAACCTGAATGTTGGGCTGGCGGACCAGCTTGGGTTGCAGGGAATGCGCTGGGCGTCCATGCGGGGCAGGTGGCGGGGACGAGAACTGGGCCAGAGATTTGTCTTCCCCTTCTGGGCCACTGGGCTGCTCGAGAGGGTCAGATTTCTCAAAGGAGCTGGTGTGCTGGATGACAGAAATTTCTTTGGACGTTGTTCTCCTCTCCTTCCCTGATTCTGAACTGGACCCTGGCTTGGGAGTCCGAGGCTGGAAGCCCGTGGGTCCCTCCAGTGAGGGCGCTGATTTACTTGGTTCTGCTGGTGACTTGGTGGACTCCAGGGGAAGGTTCCGAGCAGCATCAGACGGCCCGGGGCTGCCAAACTGACTTTTTGTTGACTCAAAGGTAGGCGGCTCTTCCTCATCCCCAAGACTCTTCTCCTTCCTCCTCTTCCTCAGTGGAGTGAGTTCCAAGGTGGCCCCCAGTTTATAATGCATCATCTGGGACCACGGCTCGTGTTCCAATTGACTCTTCTCGGCTTCGGAAGATGCGTGAGCACCTGCAGAGAGGGGCTTGGTGATCTGAAGCTCTGAGCAGTAGTACTTTTTATGGGCTTCGTAATTATCCCTTTTCTTGTACCGAGCACCACATATGGTACATTCATAGATGACCCCTTTTGTTTTCAAGCCCTTCTTGGTCTTTTTGGTGAGTTCACTTTCCTTGGGTTCTGGTTCGTCGGAGGGCTTGGAGGCTGCGTCTTTGCTACTTGGTCCAGCCTCCTCAGAGCTGTACTCGCTTCCCAGAGGAAGCTCGATGGCAGGCTGGCGCTTCAGCATCCGGGGGTGGGAGGTAAACACTGGGCTGCTGTGGCTCAGGGTATCAGAGTCGGTGATATGGTCGTCGAAGGAGTAGCTACCTCGGAAGGTGTGGTGGGGGGTACTGAGGGTGCAGGTGGCCGAAGGCATAGATTGGCTTCTCAGGAGAGGCACAGGGGGGGTGGTACTGGGTGGGTGCTGGAGGCTCAGCAGTGATTGTTCGGGCTTCGTCTTCTCACTGTGGGACGACAGGGGCTCCCGGTAGAGGCTGGACTTGGGGGACTCCATGCTGCTGCGCCTGGTCAGAGAGCTCCTCCTGGGCTTCACGCTGTCTATCTCGCTGGTGTCCACCACAGCCTCGTTGATGGTGATGAGCTTCGTGATGTGCTCGATCACCTGTGTCCGGGGCACAGACAAAGGTACCAGGCTGGGCTTGTCTTCAGTGGACAGGGGCAGGAGGGTCTGGGTGGAGGTGGCAGTCAGCATGGCGGTCCTCTGGCCAATCCGTCCGCACTTGCCGAAGATGATCTCCGCATAGGACTTGGCATTGGTGTTTGGGGGGCTGACCTGCTGTTCAGCGCTCTCGGAGCGGGAGAAGTACCCAGACTCAGTACTGCCTTTGCTTCCTGGGCTCAGAAATGCCTGCTCATCAATCACCTTCTTCCTCTCACTCAGGCGGAGGGCCAGCTTCTGCTTAATGGTGTGGGTGTCTTCCGGTTTATGGCTCAGGGGATGCTCAGATGAGGGTTCTGCAAAGGGAGTCGGGTCCTCCAGCGACGGTGCTGTGCTGGACTGGGACAGGGAGGAGCGTTCGTGGCTGGAACTGTGGCTTCCAGAGCTGTATAAGCTGCTGGAGAGGAGGGGGTGCTTAGGCCTGGGGGAGAGCTCTGTGGGGGGCCCAGACGTGGCGCCAGTTTCCTCTTCGGAGTCTGTGCTTTCTCCCTCGGTGGGCTCCTCAAATTCCTCCCCGGGGATCCTCTCCATCTCCAGCCCTGGCGGGTACATCTCACCGCCCACGCCCGAGGCCAGGCCCGCTTTGATGCGGTGGGCATGGGACTTCCTGTGCTTGTAGAGGTTGCTCTTGGTCTTGAAGGAGAAGCCACAGGGACCGCAGGGGTAGGGTCTCTCGCCCGTGTGTGAGCGGATGTGCTTCTGGAGCACGCTGGGCTTGGCGCAGGGCCGGCTGCAGTACTGGCAGATGTACTTGCCAGGCTTCTGGGGCTTTCTCTCCTTCTTGTGTGCCTCTTCTGTGGGCTTCAGGGACACCTGGGAGGGACGGGGCACAAAGACCTTGGGGATGCCAGGCAGGTCCTCAGGGGGGAGGATGGAAGCATGGGAAGGGAGGAGCTGGCTCTGCGGGTGGAGCCCAGGTGTCACGAAGGAGCTTGAGGGTCCAGGTCTCATGGGGTCAATGAGTTGCCACGTGGACCCCTCCAGGAGGTGCTCCGGCTTGCCCGGCGACATGAATGCTGGTGTCAGAGGGTGCTGCGGAAGCTGGGAGATGTGGACGGAGGCTTCGATGGACGGCCTCTTGGGGGGCTTCTGCTGTTGGCCCGTTTTCTCCTGAGAGCCTTCCCTAAGAACTGCCGAGGGGCCAGGGAAGGGCTGCGGGGCTAGGAGCTCCTGGGGGGCACTCTCTTGGGGGGCAGCTGTGCTGCTGCCTGGGTATGGGACGCTGGAGGAAACACTGGTCTGAACGGCCTCTCCTTTGGTCAGCCGCTTCCGGGGACTTCCCTCAGCCTTCTTGGTGCCCTTGATGCTTTGTTCAGGATCCATGACCTTCGCGGAGACCTCAGATGCTACTCAGGGAGGGTGGGGCAGGCTGCATTTACGAAGAATCCAAGTGTCCGGAGGAGGCGTCCAGCTTTGGCCACATTGGTCAAAAGCTGCAGAAGCCCACCCTGAGACGGCTTTGGGAGATTTTTTTGCAAGTGTCACTGGCTGCTAGTGGACTCAGAGCAGGTCATTGGGGCCCAAGCTACTCCTCTGGGTGAGGCATGGCCCTCTACTTGGCAGACAGAAAGCACACCAGCGCTTCCTGCCTGAATGTCTGTAGTGAAAACGTCACGAGGGATGTCAGTATTGCCATTGTGTTGTGCCGGTGGGCAGTGGCAAGTGGCCCCCACGAGTCCCCCGTGTGCTATGCGAATGGCTGAAGGTGGGAGACGTCTGTGTCCATGGCCCAGTCATCCCTGGTGCCAGCCCAAGAGATGCCACACTGGATGCTGGGGGCAGCTCCGTCCTGGCTTCTTCTCTCCTTTGTCCCGTGTTTGGTGATCGGTGGCCTCGGAGGAGAAGTCAAACTCTTCTACGGAACAAAAACGCACGCACAGAAACACACACACACAAAAGAGAAGACAGAGTTACTGTGGTGTGTCCCCATGGCCTGGGCCACTCAGACTCAGTGTCAAAACCCACGGAAGCCCCTCCAAGATCAGCCAGAGAACTACAGCCCAGCTCCACGTGCACAAGCGCTGCCCGTCTTCCCCTCACCCGCCTCTGCAGCTGATGCCAGTGTGCTGGTGACATGGTGGCTGTGTGGAGTCTCTGGGGCTGAAGGTAGGGCAGGTTCTGGGAATGGCAGGGCAGTCGGGGTCAGGAGGCCTGTCCTGCTTTGTGGACCCATTCTGAGTGAGCTGGAGCTCTCTAAGCCTCCACTGCCCAATCTATAAAACAGACAACAGCATTTCCTGCCCTACTGCACCCTGGGGATGCCGTGGGCCCAGCGAGGTCATGGACGTGGATGCTGTTGGATGAATTTTGGGCGGTGCTAGGCCTGGCACAGGAGGAAGTGCCCATGGGTTATTCAGGTGTAAGTTTCCCAAGAGGAGGATTATTCTCTTGTGAATCTTTCTTTCTAGCCCTAGATATGAAAGTGTCCACAAGAGAAAAAGAGAGAGACATCATTGCTTTTTATGCCCTTGAGAACCTACTCCCAGCCCTGTGCTTCAAGGAGAAGCCGCCAACTACTGCCCTAGCTCATGGGAACTCCCACTCCACACACCTGAGACCACCTGACTGATCCAAAGGATCCCCAGGAAGAGCATTTTGGAAGCTTCCTCCAGTTTTGGAGACTTTTCGTGCCCAGTCAGTCCCAGGGAAGCTCTGGAACTCATTAAGAATGAAGGCCTTTGCCAATTGCAGGGACAGAGTTGGTCTGATGGTCTGAGTGGACTCCCAAGTGAGAGCATCCTCCCAGGCCAGCCGAAAATCAGGCTGTCCAGGCTCCCTGGGTCCTGAGTGCATCTCAGGTCCCTTCTGACCAGGGCCACGGTTGGAATTTTGAAGCTGGAGGCCACTGTGAATCTGTCATGCTCAATCACATGACTTCCCAGTTGGGAACACTGAGGGCCATGAAAGTCCTATTTAAAGTCTGATGTTTCTAAGCAGCAAGTTGTCACAGCTGGAGTTGGTCCCCCGTCCCTCCTAGGTGCCTGTTCCCAGGGGAGCCCCTGGGTGGATGAGAAGTGTTTCTGTACTTTCTTCTGCTGTAAGCGTGTACTGCCCCGGGCAACCTGCCCTGGGCGACCTATGTCCTTGTCTTGCTTTTCATCTCCCATTTGCTGATACAGAAGTGAGACGTTCACTCCTGGCCCTTTCTGGAGTTGCTCAGATGAACAAGTCTCTAAGTCTCAGAGAGTTGTCTCTGAAATGGCAGGATTTCAGCCCCATGACAAGGTTAAGGAGGGCAGATGACTTGATCTTTTTAGTAAAAATTGTACCCTATAAATGTTCTCCTTTTTCATTCTGTCTTGGTTCTACAAAGAATTCAAGGTAACTATTACATCATATTTGTAGAAGAATGACAAACTGTAACAAAGATAAAAAATTAGAACTGAGAAAATGTAAATAAAGCAGGAAGTTAGGATTGGTGGGACAAAGAGAACACTAAGATACCAATCCTAAGGGTTCTATAGTTCAGCTATACATGAGCTCCCTGACAGCCAAGGGGAAAAGAGAGATGTGGTCCATTACAGAGTGCTTATAGCCAGAGGGGAACAATGATCTAGGTTCCTTACAGGAAGAAAAAGCTTGCTTGAAATGAAACTTTTCCATGTGGCACTTCAGTCAGGGGCAGTAATGATGCAGGAGATCATCTGTGTCTTCAGTGATGTCCCTCTAGCAAATGCAGTAATTGATCTTTGTTAATGGAAGATCACAATTCAGCAAAGGTTAGCAGCCAAATCCCTCCTCCGACCTAGGCAAAGAAAGCATTCTCCCAAAGCAGGCTGAGTGTGGGGGAGGCAGGGAAATCTTCTTTTACTAAGTCCCAGTCAACAGGGTGGCCATATAAGATGTCATCCAATCTGGGACCTGCTGATAACTATAGAGGGACCACAGGAATAAATGTTTATTGGAGAGGATGTTGGACTAGTGCAATCCCCTCACTTAGATGAAGAGACTGAGGGCTGAAGATGATAGGATTTGCCTTGAAAATCACAGATGGCAGAGCTGTACCATCCTGAGCCTCTGGAGCCCCCAGCCAGGCTCATCTCTCCTCCCTCAATTAATGACATTCCCTGGGGCTTCTGTGTGGCTGAGCACGGCAGGAAGTCAATGGCTCTCTGTTCTAGGGAAGCAGCAGCATGACCCTAGGGGACATCCCCGGGTTCACAGTGACGAGTGTCAGGGTGTCTAGAGTCTGAACAGCAGCACTGGCTTTTCAACTGACCTCACCGCATCTACTGGGTGGGAGAAGCTGGGTGCTCAGCTGAGGTGGGGCAACCCATGCCGATGGCATTACCCCACCTCACTTATCCAGGTCAAGGTGGGCAGAAGAGCTGAGCCATATAAATTCAGACGAGGTGGACCTCATGTACAGTTGTAGTCAGGTGGAGGGAGAGCTGCTCCCTGGGCTGGGCTGGGCCTCCAGGCCTGGCTGCACCTGTGTGTCCGTTGGGAGATGTGGGGAGGTCTCTGGGTTCTGTATGTGGGTGACAAAGGGCTGACTTTGCTTTTGTGTAAAGATCTCAAAGCACCCCAAACCCTGGCTAGTGGTAAGCCTGGCTTCTTCCGATGGATGGATGGATCCCGTGGCATGATGGGTGGTGACATGATCAGCTAGTGGGGGTCAGTTGGCCAAGAGGTCCTTACTTTGTCTGGTCCTGTGTTTGCCATTCACAAAGCCACATACTCTCCAGGGGCAAGAAGCCCCCAGTGGCTGGGGCTCCATATGATTTCCAGGGGCAGGGTGAATGAGGGAAGAGTCAGGTGACTACTGAGTCATCGGGTGACTCACTGGGCCAGCGGTGCCTACCTCGGGTCGGTATCAAGCCTACACTTGTGAGCTGGGCCTGGTGCTTCTCCATAAAGGGGTCTCCTTCTGGCAACTCTGGAAGAGGAGTCACAAAGGGGGGTCAGCACTGAGAATGCACAGTCACTGAGGGCTGTGGGCTGAGGCCCCTTCATTCTACAGACAGGGCACCTGGGATGTAGTGGGAATGACCGGCCCAGGGCCACACTGGTCCTCTTACCCCAGGGCCAGTGATCTCTGCCACTGTCCTCTACCATAGCATGACAAATGCAAGTCACTTGATACTCGGGGCCATGGGAAGGGCAGCGGGGGTGCAGGTGCAGCTGGAGAAACTGCAACACCGAAGGCCTTGGGGTGTGCTGCCCTTCAGATGCAGCCCAAGCGGGTGTTTACTACCTCTTTAACTCCTTCAGGAAGACCACTCTGTCACTGTGACCAAGACACCAAGAAAATGGGTCTTTCCTACTTTCTGAGATTCTGAGACTGAGTGTGAAATTTTAATATAAGCCTGAATGACAAAGAAAACTCTGCTTCTCCAGTGTCACCTATGAAAGATCACCTATAAAAGCCACCAGAGGGGCTGGGGTTGTGGCTCAGTGGTGGAGCGCTTGCCTCGCATGTGCAAGGGATTGGGTTCAAGCCTCAGCACCACATAAATATAAATAAACAACATGAAGGTATGTGTCTATCTACAACAACAACAACAAAAAAGCCACCAGAGATATGGGGTCAGAACCTCGAGGTTTCCCTTTCAGGCCAACAGGGGTCTGAACCCCAGTCCATAGAGAGGATGGATGTCCTTTGCTGATGATGTCAGAATGGCTACAGCGTCCACATTGCCTGCCACTGAGGCCACAGCCCCCAGAGAGCTGCAGCTTAGAAGACAGCTGATGACCATGAAGAGAACTTGAACTTCAACCACCAACTGGTTAACATACCAGGTCATTTCCAGAAGGTTCCAGAAGCTTCCATAGGCCTAGCCATTGGAACAGCCCAACAAGGAAGAGGGCAGGGCTTGCTAGGGCTGGAGCCACAAAGGCCTTGGGGGAGGAGCCAACAGACTCAAGGCAAGGCGGTCTATGTCCAAAGCCAAACGATAAATCACCTCCTGCAACCAGGCATTGGTACCACAGGACCAGAGCCCAGAGTAGACACCCTGGGGCTTGTAGGAGGTAGAGCTGGGAGCTGGGCTCTATCAGGAGGACAATGCCACCAGACCCGGCAGGAGACCAGCTGGACTGTGCCTCTGGCTCTAGGCTGAGGAGCTTGGGCCACTTGCCAAGTAAGATAAGGCTGTGCCAAGATGGGGACAGGGGCCCCATGCCCAGGTCACTGTTAGATCAATCTGACCCCAGAATGGTGGGTCTGAACAAAGTTCTTTAATTGTAATTTACTGACATATATACTTATCTCCCAAGATACCAAAATCTGTTCAAACATTTTACTGACAGTAATAAAGCATATTGATCTCAAAATGCCAGGAAAATGAATCTTCCTCCTAACTCTGACAACAGGGGACCCAGGGAACAGGGCCACAGGCTGGATTGTAGGTAGCAGTTAATAGTCTTACTTAACAATCCAACAACAAAACCAGTGTCTCCTCTAAGAACCTCTGTATGCAATACTGTGTGTGTGTTCATGTGCAAGACCCAACTCTTCACCTGTAAAGAAAAGCAAAAGTGATCACAGGCTCAGATGGTGGCAATACAGGGCAGACAGGAGGACATGGTTCTAGAGAGACACGGGGAGAAGTGGTCAGGGAGTTTTAGAGCAAAGTCTAGGCAAAGAGAGTGGCCAAGGTTGAGGTTGGGTCCTTGGCTGGGAATGGGAAACATGACTAGCTATTTGTTTTTCTTTTTAGTCATCAAAGTCCACCTGAGTGCTGGGGGTGTGGCTCAGTGGTAGAGCACTGGCCTAGTCTGCAGGAGGACCTAGGTTACTAAAAACAAAACCAAAACGTAAGCAAAACTCTACTTGAGCTTTAGCTGGGTCTATGGCTGCCCAGCTAGAGCCTGTATTTCCCAGCCTCCCTTGCAGCTAGTTCTGGCCAAGGT